CACTCTCCTACCGTACCGAGTTGAAGTAGTCCGTCGCCTCAGGGGACCCCATCCCCCTCCCCAACATCCAGCATACGGCTCCAGCAGAAACGCCAAAAGGGCTGCTTTGCTTACCTCCTCGAAAGACGGCGACTTTACTGGCTAGGCAGCAAATGTAAGTTCAATCTCATTGTTTAGTGACATTGCTGTGATGCACGAACAACGGTACGATCTCAATAGTTGGCCGTTCAAAGGACATGATCGTTCGGGGCGGCGAAAACATCTATCCGACGGAAGTCGAACAGTTCCTCTTCAAGCATCCGAAGATCGAAGACGCACATGTGAGTCTTTTCCATCGAAGTGATCAAGAGTGGGGTTTTCCGCGGCATCTTCCAGGGCGGATAGTCTTTTGTCATCTTTTAGACAGCTGAAGTGATTAAAATATTCTTTCGTATAACTTCAATTACGTGACTGAAGGCAGTGTCCATAGTTTGCGAGTATATGCAACTAGGCAATTAGGAGATCGCTCAGTGGGCTGAGCAAACAATCGATACGTATGCATCTCACTCGCCTAATCGCCTGATCGAATATACAATTGCGAACTATTAACGCTGCCTTATGGAGATGAAGAAATCTATTCAGATTGTTGGTGTACCTGACGAAAGATACGGCGAATCGGTGTGTGCGTGGATTCGGTTACATGAATCAGCTGTCGGTGAGATCAACGAGGAGCACATCAAGAATTGGTGTAAAGGAAAGGTAAAGGTTCTCTTAGCCTTTGGACCTATAAGCTATCAAAAATGAAAATTGCTCTTCATGATTCGCTCATTTCAAGATTCCTCGCTATATCCTGTTCAAGAAAGAGCACGAATTCCCGCTCACTGTGACAGGGAAAGTGAAAAAGTTCGAAATAAGGGAACAGTCGAAGATCGAGCTCGGCCTGCAACAGGTCAGGTCGTTTCTCACTTCCAAGATTACGACATTTGAACTCATCCACAAACGGTCACGGCGTGTCATAGAGTTTGTGTGTGTGGACCAGCTTTATGTTGTATGAATGAACGCATGCCCCCTCGTATTGCACGGTACTCTTCATCGATTACGCCACGATGTCTTCAGGCTTCTAGTCGACTCAGAAATGATCATTTTATAAAGTACAGCACGTAATGTGTCATGACTAGTGTGACCTGTGGAGTCTCCCATAAGTCGCGCAGCGCAGAAAAGGAGGAACAAGGGGTTGCTTCTTGGCTCAGAGAATTGGCAGCCAGCTGTACAGGATCAACAGCACTTACCACCATGCGTCACGCAAAGTATTTAAATGGGTGGAACCTAATTGGTGAGCATTGACTGTCTAAGACTATGTTTATCAATTGCCCCCAAAGCGGTTTATTTGTCGCGCGCGGACGCGGAAGATCAAGCGTTTGCGCTAAATGCGACTTCGAAAGTCTCGCGGTTCTCTTGTCACAGTCTCGATTCGACCCTCCACACCACACGTGAAGAGAGTCACCCACAAATACGATCATCCGTCATCTCGCTACTAGCACTGCTTCTGTCCGTCCCAAATGTCCCGCGAAACTGGTGTCGAATGGAGGATGAGGGGAGGGTAGACATGACTAAAAGCGGTATGTTTTTCGTCTACTCATACATACTTTCCGCACAATTGTTGTCATATTGTTGCAAAACTTTCAAAAACGGCTTTCTGTCCCAACACCGCCGTTCAATCTCCACAAGTACAACTCCACTTCGCGCTTTTTGGAGTGATGCATTAACCCAGGTCAACCCTAAATACAACCCCTTCCCCGTCGGGACTGTCTCAACCGATGGTTGCCATGCTTTGCGTGATCCACGCCGGAGCAAATGTTTCATCCCCACAAGTGTGTCGCTGCCAACTACAATGGCTGAGTGCAGTTGTTACCTGAAGCTCTGGCTATTTGTGCTGCCTTGTTCATGAGCGGTTTTAGAAGACCCCTGTTTGAAAGATGTTGTGGACGGTTTGCAGACAGTAGTCTGCTGAAGTGCTCAGTATTTCATTTCGTACTGATCGGTGCGCGAATTATGGGTCACACTAGGTGCAGTAATCGAGTTCACTGTTCTTCGTGCCTTTTTACTGAATGAGAAGGTTCCAGTGAAATTCATCTCGTTCAGGTTGTTGACGTTATGGTCGTGGTCTATTGAGAATGAACACAGTGAACCCGATTCTTTTTTCTCTTCGCTTTCACTTTCCACATCTTTTTCGTTGTATATGTTTGCGAAATTCACTTCTACATTCAGTTTTAGAGCAAGCAATTTGGTTCTTTTTTCCTCTTTTCTATTTTTTCTATTTTTTCTTTTTAACTTCTTAACTTGTGGCCTCAAATTGCGCGTTGTATACGTTGTTATGTTGCTCTCTTTCTACCTGTACTGGAGTTCGTGTATTGTACGGCTGTTGTGAAATCAACTCTCAAGCATAACAGATCATCATCATCATCGCCAACGTTATGCTTAATGTGTGTATTGCATGTAAATTGCTTTACAATTATATATGAAAATATGTCTCTACACCCTTTACCATATACTATCCAATTTATCATTATTGTATTCCGTGTTTCTGCGCGCATGCGCGCGTTTCGCTGCTAGCATGGCTCAGCGCCAGGATAGGGTACCCGGCAGGAGGCCCGTCGCGCGGCAAGAAAGTGGCGTCAGCGGACGAGTCAGAGCGCGTGCTGTGCGATGTAGGACGGATAATGGTATATTCTATATAACTTTGATGCAAAACCCACTTTACAATACGCGCTGCGACTCCTGCGCTGAACTCTGCGGCTTCACCGAATCGGGCTCCTGGTCGGGTACCGGCTAGATAATTACTATGTCGGGTGGGTCGAATTTGCGCAACTTTCTGAGGCAGTTCTTTGTACGCTGTACTTTCCCGCCGAGAGGTGTCTCCTTGAAGGCAGTGAACACGATTGTTTGAGGGCCCACCCCCAGCGCGCTGAGGGTTTGGTCCAGCAGTGGCGTCTAATGGCGTCATCAAAACCGCTCCGCCCTCCCAGCCATCTGTTCACTAAATTTAACCCAACACACTGTATGGCAGAGCGTTACTGGTGGAGCGGGGCCGTGCTGGGTGCCGAAGCTTTTTTGCCTCGACAGAACGTCACGAGTCAGGTTACCAATCGCTCCGCCTAGTGAGAAAATAGCATAGGGCCTAGAAGCGCGAATTCTGCCATGTCGCACGACGTGAGCATGTAGCGCATGATATCGTAGTGTTGTCGTATTTAGTTTGGTAGTAAGTCGTCAGTACGCAGTCAATTCTTAAAAAGCGCCTGATTCTCTCAGATGAGTGACGATGTGGAACGAAAGTCGGACGATTAGTCAGTCTCCTACCGTCGTCTACTCTGCGCATTTATTTTCCATCGATCACAAAGATGGAGAGATGTCCAGATTTCTATATGTGATTTCAATTCTCTGTTTCTTTGCTCCTCTTGCCATTCTTTGTTCTTTTGTTCATCCTTTTGTGTTCCCCACTCGAAGCCTTTCTTTTCGTTTTATTAGATGCCTGTTCCTCAACAAGCAGTGTTTGTTTTATTTTCCTCACCCAAAATTGTAATACGATGTGCGAAAGAAAACAGAGCCCTATTCGGATTTGATAGATAATTGTGTTTTGTTTCGATTTTTTCGATTCACTCACAAAAATCAAGTAGATTAATAAAGAATTTAAAAAATGTGCTTGATGGTGGAGATGAGGTCTTTGCCGTCCTCTATTTTCCAGCATCTCATGACGTTAAGTTGCCGAAACACCCAAATTTGTGCTCATCAACAGCCATGTGAAGTTTTCAAGGCTCTTAGCGCTTTATTTCGGAAGAGCTTCAGTTCCATGGCTAGCATAATTCCGTATCGTTGGCTTCGTTCTGCGCTTTTTTTGTTTGAAATGCTTGAATTTTGATTTTTCCTTTTTTGGACAAATATTCGATATTCAGAATATCCTTTTTTGTCCGTAAGTTTTTTATGGTCTGTTCGTACACTAACCAAAGCCAATTAGCGATGTGGTCACGCGCGAGCATTCGCGCGAAGTTTCCGCTCGGCGGCCGCGATGCGTTGGTTCGAGCTGCCACTTGGGCGCATCTATAGCATGAGTGCTATTACACACTCGAAATAATTCCGGCCCATGCCAGTATGCCTTGTGAAGCGGACTTTTGCGCGATATCGCTATTCAAAGCTTCTAGGCAAATATAGTGGGCTGAATGAGGATATCGATTTACGCAGCGCGCGAAATCAGTTCCATTCCGAAGGTAAACACAGTGGGTCAAAGCATGGAAGCAGCTGCCAATGTTGCAAGTTGAATGGTGGTTGGCGGTGGTCTTGATACTAATTGAAACCTCCTTAGCATACTGAAGAGTAAAAGAAGCAGCTCGGAAGAAAGACTTCGGCTAACTCGAAATCGATGGTGGCAGAATACTCAAGGTTCGGACCTCGTGAAAGCTAGGTACCTGACGTGAGCAGCTTGGATGCTTTATTGAAACAGTAATACGAGGAAATCGTTCACGACGATGAATTCACTCGAGACGACTGTCAGACGGTTGATGTAGAAACTGAAGTCGCAGGATTCGCAGACGTTCTAGAAGCGCCGTCTCCGGGGTGGCAGGCCTAAATTCCCTAATCGATAGAATCTTCAGCATCGTCACTGCCGTGGAGAGAGGATGAAAAACAACTTTGGGCAACACTGGAAGCGTTCTCGACTTTGGCTTGATTCTATAATATTAATATCGCAGCAAATTCAGCTCCGTTTTCAGCTAAAGAATTTTCAGCGCCTTTGCAAGCTCAGAGAGGAGTGTCCGGGCGGAGCTTTAGCCAGTCACTTTTTTCATCACGTTAAAGCAACAATCCAAGAACGAATTCGCGAGCTAGAACCACCGATAATGAAGTAGGTGAAAAGTTAACCAATAATGAAGGAAAAAAGAAGACGTTGAACAGGGACTTAGACAAGGACTTCCCCTCTGTCCACTTAGCAGTGGAGGAATACGCGCGCATGTTGGACAAGCTGCGGACTGCCGCAAGTTTTAATTGCGCCAACAGTGGGCAGCTGCTGCAAGGTAGGCTGAGCTATTGGCAAGGGGGTGTCCAACGTCATACAATGCTGCGTGTAAACTGTGGACGCATAAATGAAATCGGTTCACTTTTGAATGGAAGGAAGGTAGAAAGAAAAAACTTAGATATCCAGCGCAGTCGGCATCACCCCATCAATTGCTTTTAAGGATCGACTTCAAGTTCAGTCCCGTGGTCCCGAAACGGCCGCAAATGTTTGCGCAGCCAATCACTTATTCCACAACTGAAGTGGGCGGCCGCACCGAAACGAGGGTGGACCCCGCCCCACTTCAAGGACGTTGGACACCCTTCCAACGCCTTTCAAAGGGATTTTTCAAACCACCGACATTTCCAGTGTATTTGACTAGTGAATGCTTCCACTCCTTAGGATCGAATGGTTGAAACCCTGCTTGGACTGTTGCTTTAATTTTTCTCCTAAATTTGCCAGGAGAGAAGGTAGCGTTGTGATGGGAGGTGCACATAGCAGATATGAGGATCGGATCTCAACGATGCCGACTAGTACTTCAACCTTCAATCAAATTGAATTCTATAATATTAGGTTGGTGCAAAAGTCTTGAGACACTCGGATGCGTGTTCAAACATCTTTTATAATTTTATTCAAAGTCTAATTCAAAAAACTATAGAATCATCATCATTATCTGTGACATTCATCCAACGAGCAGGCAAGTCGGCTATTCCCTTCTCCAAGAAAGAAGAGTACTGTGAGTCAAAGAAGTCAGCCACAGTATTTTTGAGGTCACCAAAAGTGGCGAACTTCTTCTGACCAGAGTTGCTTGAGGTGCCTAAAAAGATGATAGTCAGAAGGGGCGAGGTCGGGGGAATAGGGATGGTGGGGAACGATATTCCAGCTGAGCTCCTGTAGCCTGTCTGCGTGATCTTTGCGACGTGAGGCCAAGCGTTATCATGCAGAAGATGTACAGAAACCCTTCTCGCGTCGCTTCGATTGCATAAGCGGTTCGCCTGGAAGCAGGAAAGTGTAAATTGGTAGACCGTGGATCTGCCTGGCCTTGAGGAGCAACTCATTGGTATAGCATTCCCTTTCGAGTCCCAGAAGCAGCACAGCAAAACTTTTTGAGTGCTGTCCTGGCTTGGGCTGCACGGGTGGATCTTCTCTTTTTGGGAGCCAGACAGCGACCCTCTTGATGTTGCCGTAGGAAATCCAGTATTCATCCCCGGTAACCAGATCCTGTAGAGGGCTTCTTCCGATTTGGAGTAAGAAGGAATGATGCTGGGCGATGGGCAACGTGTACGCACATCGTCAATCAGTAGTTGATGTGCGGACAGTCCATCGACCGGAAAACTTTAATGAACCGTGCTCGTGAAGGGTCGAACGACGTATGCTTTGTGATCGCAGCTGAGCGAAGGCTCCGCCGAATCGCCTGCTCTTTTGGCCACGGAACTTTGACTTCACTTCGTTTGAGGGAGTCGTGTCGTCTTCGATGTTCTGTGCTGAGTGACGAGAAACAGCTGGTTCCCGGGGCGAAGGATCGTCGTCGAGCATCGTATCTCCAGACTGAAAACGAGCGAATGAAACGACTAACTGTCGCATAGCTGACGAGGTTCTTCCAAATGCAGTGTTGATATTGGAGGCAGCAGAACGAGCACTGGAACCGCGGCGCCACTGGTAGATTGCTCGAAGTTGACATCTTGACAATTGCGACATGGTTTATACGAGAAGGGCTCGGGGACCTACTCACATCATCACGCCGATGGCCGCCCATATGGGCTGCCAACAACATGCGCTCCTGGGACGATGGCAGCCCATATGGGCTGCCAACTGATAATCGCTTGCCAGGCGCTAGGAATGGACAGATAGGTGGGCAAACCTCGTAATCGAGTGTAAAATGCTTTTAAATTCCTTCACGGGGAAAGTGAATAAATGCTCTCTTTTCGTAACCACTATTTGTCGTTCTGATCGAAATCCTACTGTTATATGTTTAGATAATCTTTACGCATTGGACATTGCAGTGAATTACGTTGTGACATTTGCAAAACAACATCTGCGGTTATGTGATGAGGCGGCGGCGCCCACAAAATCGCGTCCGTCCCACGCGACCGTGAATGTGTTAAATACGTTTACTTCTAGAATATGGTGAAATCATGACGGTGCCAAAGGCTGTTTTAGAGACATGACGATCCATGTAAATTTGTGTCTCAAGTTTTTTCCATCAACCTAATATTTAGTATGTGTGACTTAGAGGCGGAATGCTGGCACCTTTGTGAATTGTAACGGTTGTCAATCTCTTTAAAACAAAGGAATGGGGTGATTCAGTGGTACGAACAGATGTTTATCCCCATAGACCTAAATTAGGCACCTTGCTGCAGGCTATCAGGGGACAGAATGCTCATGCTCCGCTTTTGAGTGGGAGGATCTCCATAAGTTCTGGGCAGAAGCAAGAACAAAGGTGGTGGTTCCCAAAAGGTTAGAAAAAAACCGTCAAGCACAGTCGGGCGCTATGGTGCGGTGGATTATCAAAATATTTGTAGTGCTGCGAAGGTTGAATATTGTTCTTGCAGTATAGAGCGGCCGGAAGTGGTAGCGCAAGTGCACGCGGAGCCCGGCGACGATGCCATTGAAGTTCTGGGGGTCGGGTGGAGGTCGCCGCGGGCATGACGGAGGCGGCCTCCTCTGCGAGTCGGGTTGATTGTAGCCAGGTTGTGAGGAAGGAGTGGAGAACACTGATTGTAATGACCGCAGAAGTCAGGTGTGTTAGGCTACGATGCGCATGCGAAACGCCGCGGCGCAATGGTACAGAATGGAGGGGAGTGCGGGCGCGGGCAGTGCGTAAAAAGGGGATTGTGATGCAACGGCCATGCGTTTGATCCTGTTTTTATCGCTTTAGTATAGAAGCTAGGTTGCGACGTTGAATTTGTGCAGCATTGGTGACAGTGGAGAATGGGTAGCAGTCGATTGGTCAGGTTAAGGTGCGTGCAGCAGATAAGCGGGGGGTGGATTAGGTGATGATGGAGGTTACTTACTTGCATTCGGGCACAGGTGCGTCCGTGTGTTGGAGCCACTGTTGTATTTGTCGTCATGGGCAGGGCGCTTTTGTAACACAATCCTCCGTTGCATGTGGAATTGCTGTAGGTTGTGCAGTTACTGCCCGATTCACATCCACCTCCTCCGAAGTGATAGACAGGATCTCCACAGCTGAGGGGACTGAAATAATGATAATCGCCGAAGGGGTATCAGATCCTTCGAGAAAAATTTACTTTCAAAATTTGCCGTACATCACTATCACGCGTAAGAAGTGAATAGTACACTAACAATAAGTAGTAAGCAGGCCGTGTTCTGAATAGAATTCGGCTAAGAGGGACTAATGCGGGGATAAGTGGCGGTAACGTGAGGAAAGATGGATATTGTGTAGTGCTTGCGTTCGGGATATACAGGGGGGGGGGCCAAAAAAAAAGACATTTTGCCTATGTCGGACTTCGGCTCTTTTTTCTTCGCAGAGATTGCTGTCGTTGACGGGAGTTCCTCAGCAGAGTATTCCCTAAGTGTTCCTCTATTAGTGTACGCAGGCTCTCCTTCACTGCCCTCACCGTCTTCAGAATATGACGTCATCTGTCACCGTCGTCAGGCTCAAGGAGGTCTACCGTAAGAGCTTCAGCCTGAAGCTCTTACGCAATTTCGTGAATCGATTTAATGTTGGATAGTTTTCTAGAGGCATTAGCTACCACTGTGCAAATCCCCTCGGAACTAGCTTTCCAGTAAGGGTCGTTATGTAGCACATCGCTGTCGAGAGACCATGTGAGATGGCACCAGTGGGCAGCCATGTTTGCCAGGGCGGAAGTTGTTCTGAGTGCCGGTCACGTACGGCGACTATGAGATGTTCTGTAGTAGATGAAAGCTGCTTTAATATAATTTGGACCGGTTGCGTCTTGAGGTTAGGGTAGATGTGCGTGTAAAGCGGTGTGAAGTGGGACAAGAGGGGCTGTTGTGTTTGTCGGCGCGCGCGGGTGGGTCGTTTGAGAGTTGAGAAGTCCACCGTTGTTGTTTTCGGCGATGTTGAGCTGCTTGTCGTTCTGAAACTAATTGCTGTTCGTCTTCCACGCAGGAATTTCGGCTATTTGTGTAGTGAAAGTCAGGTGAACGCGCGACGAGACAGGCGAGCGAGGCAGAGTGCCGTGTGGCGAGAGGCAAAGCAAGTTGATTTCAGCTTCAGCTTCGGATGGCACATCCCACTACCTTAAGGTTTTTCAGTCACGGCTACAGCAAAATAACTATGCATTTATTTGCCTTTTCGACAGAAGAAACTCGAATCACTATATATTTGTCGGTTGAATATGCGGTGACGGGTTCTTATTACTCAACTCAAAGGCATGTCGCGGTATCGAGTCAATGGAACGTTCACTTTCGTGGACGAGATGCACCAGTCGCAACCGCAGAGTTGCTGTCGCAGGAAGTGAGGGAGTGGAAAGAGCATCAGGGGCTTACGAATTGCATCAATGCACGCCGCGCTTGAGAATGCGTTGGTGTCTGCGTCTCCCTCGCCTCGTACACTCTTTTGTCTCCGGGTTTGATCTCTATCCTCGGCGCCCATATCTTCCAGACTGCGTCATGAGTGTTGTGAAGTCGCCCACACCTCACTAGAGAATCATCTTTCATCGATTCATTTACCAGTTTCTTTTTCTCGTTCTTCGCGCTGCAGCTACCGCTTCTGGTAACGACCACTCGTCTTCAGAAATCTGGCTGACGTAGGTAGGATTTGACACGCGGCCCATACGCGCGGTATCGTCTCGCTGCATGGTATCTCTCCCTCTTGCCATCACGCCACTCCGCCCGAATGGAAAATTTTGTAATGTGACTATTAGTCTTGATTACCGTTTACGAATACACATTTTACAATACACCAGATTGGTCTCCCGGCATCCCCTTGGGGTATTATCGATCATGTTGCAATAATACCTCTAACGTATCCAACAGTATCCTGGAAGCGATGACCTTCCTCCTCTTTGTCCTCCCCCCAACCGGCTGGCCCATCCCCTGTTGTCCCCAAACCTCCTGCCCTCCCCTCCGGCTGCCACGGCAGCACCATATAGAATGAAACTGAGTTTGAGTTTTTTTTTGAGTTTAAACTGAGTTGAGTTTTTTTTTTTATATAGCCGTGTGAATGTTATCACAGTCATGAAAACAACATCGCGATGCGTCTGCTAGTCCCAGCTTTGGTACCCTCGCCAGGGGGACTGCCTTTCTTTTTTTTTTTTTTTACGTTTTTGGCGTTCTCGTCGCAGAGTTAGGTTTATCAAATTTCCATTTGTGCCCAGTTCGGCTTGCAAGCGCACACCCTTTTCCAAAAAATTTTGAAATCGTGGTGGTAATCTTTGTCTACGAGTCGTACACATGTGTACCATCGTAGTCAGAAGGTCAAGTTACCCACGGTAACTCGCTTTGACTTGTGAAGATTTATCATAAGCATAAGAATTATGCAGTTTCTATCTGTGTCTGAAACAACAACCTCAGATGGATCTACATAATTGCGGCTAATCGAGTGAGAAGATGCGTTGGACGCACATAGCTGAGGATATGAAGTGTAGCAAAAAAATACCCTTGGAAAGCCGCTATGAGGAGTTGGATAGGTGCCAATTTGGTACGTCCGGCTGTTGGTCGACACACCCACTTGATCCGTGGAGATCTCTGATCGGCCAGTGCGTGGCGGATAACTCTAGTACGCGCGGGTTATTGAGCCAAGGTTATGGAGCAAGCAAGTTCAGAAAACTCGTCCGGCTCCGCCCCTTCCTTGTTTCAAGAGGAAGAGAGGGACTACTTGTAAACGGCTTCATCGGCGGTTTGCTTTGGTTCTTTTTCATCTTCCATCAGTGCGACATCCATTTGTTTCATTATCGACCGCTATTTCTCCACCAATTTGATCTGGGGTTGTTGCTTTAATTCTGCAATCAAGCAGGCGTTCCCGTCTCAATAAGTGTCACAACTGTGGAAGCGCTTTTGACTCCGGTAGTGGTACACGTGTGTACTAACAGTAGTCAACGGGTTAGCAGCAACGGGCCACGAAAGTGCGCTTTTTTTGGAATATTCTCCATTTCGATGCTGAGTTATCGCTTACGCTCTGTTGAAAAGGCATGACACCACCGCGATGTAGCAGTCGCCTGATGGGCAGGATAAGGTTGAGCAGCCCACTGCTGTAATCGATGCTCTTATCATCTGAAAAAAAAAACAGTTTGACACAATTTGTTCATTCATCAAGATGGAGCTTTTTTTTCCCTGAAGACTCACATTCAAGAATGTAATATTGGCGGTCTGATTGCCATCATCATAGTAGACACCAGATTTGTTCGTTGATGGAGCTTTTCGCGAAGAATTTCCGGCCCAGTACGAGTATGCATCCGCGAAGGTTTGGTTAGCAGTGGGCTTGGAAGTGTACGTGGTTCTGAATAGATAAATTTCTGTCAATACTTCCTGTATGAACATAGTATGGAATTCTTTTCGAGAGGTAGTACTTCTTCTTGTGATAAGAGTTTGCTAAAAAATTTGATAGTCCTCTGCAGACCCACTAGAAACAGCAAAAATGAGACATGCCTGAAGTAGTTTTGAGTATAGTTGGATGATTCTATCGGATCTCCACAACCTGATGGAAGTTGCTTTTCCGCCAACGCTTCCAAAGCACAGCTCCACTCCTGACAAGGTTATTATATCATAGAGCTCAATTGTTGTAATATTAGGTACCGGATATCTTAGTGTCGCTTTTCTGAGTTCAGGAAGTTTTGGGGCCGATTACTATGGAAAATCAATATCTCAGAAAGTCCTTTTTGCTCATTAATACTGCGAAATATGTTGCTTATTGTTTTCTATTGTTGGTTCACAATTTAACTTTCCCCCAATTTTTATACTTTTTTGAAAATTCCTGGGTCCAGTGTGCAAATTCGCATGTGTGTACCAAATGCTTCAAAATTCTTGCTGAGAGCTACAACTTCCGCCCACCAAACCAACATTGCATTTGTTGGAGGGAATACTACCATTTAAAATGCTCATCGGTTTTTCACAGTTTTCTCAAAAGACAGTGAAGTCTTTGAAGTGATGCCCGCAATCGTCGTCAAAAAGGTGGCCCTAGTTAAATCAGTCGAGACGGGGCTGCACCAGTCTTGTGCTGAAATGGTAGGACACCTTAGCAGTGACTGATCGATGATGCACAAACGCTTTAACGAAGTTGATTGCACAAGAAATTCTAATAAATGTGCTCATCTGCTACTCACGTGTGCTCAAAAAGGGTGCGTTTTTGACCCTATGTGGCGAAAAAAGA